GTCATAAATGTTATGAGTATAGTAAATAAGACAGCATCCCTACCCTTATAAAACAAATATTCTAGTGAATGAGAAAGAAAAAGTAAATATTTATGTACTATGAAGAAATATTTTAGAAAGAATAACCTGAATAAGAACACTCCAAACAAAAGCGGCATCTCTGATGAATAGTAAGGAGGCTGGTGTAGCTGGAGCACATGAGTAAAGCAGAGATCAGAGAAAGGCATGGGCAGATTGCACTGGGCCTTGAAGGTCATGATGAAGAATCTGAATTTTATTTGAAATGTAATAGGAAACTACAGATAATGTTTTAAGCAGGGAATGCCCTAACCTAGGAGTGACCTAATTTTACTATTTTTTACAATAGTTTTATTGAGATATAATTCACATACCATAGAATTTACTACGAGTGCACACCACCACGCCCAGAGAATTTTTCCTTTTTTTTTCTTAGTAGAGATGGAGTCTTTCTCTTGCTCAGGTTGGTCTTGAACTCCTGAGCTCAAGCAATCCACCCACTTCAGCCTCACAGAGTGTTAGGATTATAGTAGTTACCCACCGAGCCCAACCTAAAATTCACTTTTAAGTGCACAATCCAACGGGTTTTAGTATATCACAGAGTTGTGCAACCGTCAACACTGATTAATTCCAGAATATTTTTATCATCCTCAAAAGAAACCCTCTACCCATTAGCCCATGCTAATGGGTAGAAAATCACTAATTTTCTTCCTGTCTCCATGGATTTGCCTATTCTGGACATTTCACATAAACCAGACAATATGTGACCCTTAATTGAGGATGAGGTTTTAAGGGGAAATCCAGAGAGATTTGGGGGGGGAAAAAGAATGATTTGGGCAATGTTAAATTTGGGATGACTATCAAACACCCAAGTGGATATGTCAATTAGACAACTGGATATACAAGTCCTGCAGCTCAGGAAAAGAAGTAAGATCTGAGCTCACCTAGAGAATGTGTATAGATAGAGAAATTAAGAGGGCCAAGACGGAGCCCTGGAAACTATCATTTGGAGGTCAGACAAGAGAAGGATCTGGCAGAGGAGCCATCTATGGCATCTGGAAAGCCAAAGAAAAGTGACTTAAGGAGAGGATGATCAATTGAGTTGAAGGCTGCTGAGAGTTCAAGTAAGCAAAGGAAAGAGAACAGACAACTAAATTTGGAAAGATGAAGGTCTTTGGTGACCTTAGTAATAACGATTTATGTTAAACAGTTGGGATAAAAGCCCAAGAATTAACACAGGTTAAAAGAGACTGGGTGCTCAGGAACTGAAGCTCAACTAGAGACTACTCCTTCAAGATGGATCACACATTAGTGAAATATTACTTACTATAGTTATAATCTAATATTTAACATGCAACTGGAATCCTTTACTTTGAAAAGTCTATCTGGTAAAAAAGCTAATTTTTATAACCAGCCCTAGAAAACTAGGTAATTAAAACCCCCTTTCATACTAGCTACAAAATGATTCTGACAAGTCACTTAACCTCTCTGAGGTTTAGTTTCCA